AGCTGGCAAACAATTATTAGAATTCGCAGAACTAAACTGGGAGAAACTGCAATGAGCAGGATCAAAATGGAACCAGAGGGCTCAGTGAAGGATGGATAAAGCAACACAGCTGGGAAGGGTCCTTTATCAGGCCACCTCCCAGGCAGGAACCTGCTGCAGAGCTCTGGCAAAAGCAGAAGTCTGGCAGAAGGAAAAACCATCTTCTCATCCCATAAATCACTGGGGAAAGGAGGTCTGGTTTCTTATAGATTTGTGCCTTGATGGAGACTAAATCTGGTGTCCAAGAACAAGTTATCTCACAAAGCAGTTTGTGCTGCAGCTAGCTTACTTGTAATCCTTTCTCTCCCGTGGGTTTAAGATAAAAACCAGCATTCCTACAATTTTTTTCTTGCTGAAACAAGACACGCTCCCATCACGTGACAACAGCGCCCGGGAAGCTGGAAGTTCAACAATGTGACAGTTACACAGGTTTGAAATCCTGTGCAGTGAAGCTGAATCTGTGGACTTGTGAAAGGAAGGACAAGCCCTTCGAGATCCCAACCAGATGGCTTCGGTTTTATGTCTTCTTACAGAATTAAGCAGAGAAGGTAAACACTGTCCTTGAACACAGCGCTAAGACCCAAGCCCTGCCCAAAGCAACTGTCTCTTCTGGTCAGAGGTAGGTTTTAACTCTTTGCATTCCTCCTGGGGCTTTGGGAGTCCTGCTGGAAGCCACATCAACCCACAAGAAATCTAAAAGACAGAAGCACCCCTCTCCAAAAGGGGAGACTTGTGAGCTTCCCACAACGTACCCGAATGATTCTGGCAGCCTCCAGCAACACCCTGCTCCTCTCCATGCCCGACATCTGGCCCCAGATTTGAAAGGCAGCTTTGGCACTCTGCACTGCCAGGTCAACCTCCTTCTCCCCGGAGCAGAGCAGCTTGCTTATCACACGACCTGGGCACATTTTGAACGGGAAATGAGAGAGGATGGAAATCTCAGAAAAGGGACACAAAATAACGTGGTTTCTCTCGCATCAAACCCCAAAAGACTTTGGTCCAGCCTCCTAGAACAGGCTGCAGAACTTCCCACTGTGGTTCCCACCACTGAGGATATAGAAGAGGTGCTGCAGGTCAGCTGGTCTGAATTAACAGATCTGCCATTCTCCACAGAGAAGCTCTGGTTACTAATTAGCTCCAATTGTTACAAAGTCCCCCCGTTTCCCACTGGGCTTTGTTACACTTCTACCAGCTCCAGGACTCTTATTACACATTCACAAAC